TGTGTGTGTGTGTGTGTGTACACGTGTAGTGTGTAGTTAGGCCAAAGACTAGTAAGTACTCACCAAAGCACAGACTGCCGTGATGGTTCTCAGGCCATGAGGAGTGGTACCCCTCCAGACAGTCACAGTGGTAACGTCCGGGCATGTTGACGCACACAGAGTTGCCGTGACACTTGGAGATGCCCAGCGCACACTCGTCGATGTCTGTCCGAGGGACAAGGGGACGGAGAGAAAATGAAGGAAGGAATGAACAAAAAAAATGAATAAACAAAGGAAAGGATGGCAAAATGAAAGAAAGAACGAAGGGAGGAAGGAATGAAAAAATTGAATGAGCGAATGAAAGGATGAAAAAATGGAAGGATTAAACAAATTTAATGGACGAATGAAGGAATGAAAACATTGAATGAATGAAAAAAAAAGTAAACGAATCAACGAACGAAGGAGGCCAAAAAATAAATAAATCAAGGAACAATAAAGAGCAAATGAAGGAAGGGATTCAGGAGTATATCATGAATAAATGAAGAAGTAAAAGAACGAAGGAATAAAAGAATGAAAGTAAGCAAGAACGAATGAGTGGCTGAATGAATGTAAGAATGAAGGAAGGAGAACAAAGGACAAACAAAAAGAAAATGAACAAATGAAAGCGTAAATGAACGAATGGAAGCGTATACTATAATTCAACATAAGAGTAAGTAAAAGAACTAATACATACGTAAATGGTTGGAAGAAGAGCGAATGAATGAAAGAATGAAAGAACACATGAGTGAAAGAAAAAGTGGATAAATGAATGAATACCAATTACTGTTTTCAAGATTGTATATCACAGCATCTCGTGGATTTATAGAACAATAAAAGCCTGATGGTGGTGTGATGAACAACACCCTAGTTGGAACTCAATAACCGAGGGAGATACAGGCTTTGATGGGCCGGCAGCTGGGGCAGGTGAATACTAATTCACGAAATGAATACTTTGGATACTTTGGTGGGGACTGTAGGGTGTGTGTGAGTGTGTGTGTGTGTGTGTGTTTTGTTTGTTTGTTTATTGTTGTTGCAGTTGGTGCTTGTGGTGGTGGCGTTGT